ATTGTAATCCCATTGAGAGCTGTTGGGCAGTAATGAGCCAGAAAATTGAAAACTACGACCCTAAACTAGCTACTGTAGCTAAGTTGTAGCACCTTCTATTGACAAGTTCGGATGAAATCACGGTGGATTATATCAATAACCTCACTGACAGCATGTCACGTCACCTTGTAGAGGTTAAAAGAGTACGAGAAGGACCAACCAAGTACTGAATGTTTAATAGGAACTGATATAAGGTTACCGACGCTATCTATAATAATTTGATGCTATATTTTGTCATTATATATGCTTTGGTAAGGTTTTTTATAGGTAAAATGTTGAATTACACATCCTTCTACAGGTGTCTAATAAAACTGTTTGCTGTTCTAATAAATTGTTCCTGATGTCCATAGAACTTGTCTCATTATACAAATTACATACGTAGATGTATGATATAACATGCATTTCTCACTTTGACAGCGCTAAGTATATTTGTATTCCAGCTTAATAATAATGATTTTATTTGTTACAAAATATGCAAACATTTTGGTCAAGACTGTATACTAGGGGTGTGTTTTCGCTTATCTAGATTTTGTTTGTTTGTTGTTAAGCACAAAACTACACAATAGAATGTCTGTATTGTGCCCGTTACGGGTATCAAAACCCAGTTTTTAGCGTTATAAGCCTTCAGACTTACCGCTGAGCCACTGGAGGGCTTTGCCTAAATGTTTTGTTTGTCCACTATAGTATAAGAGAAAATTTTCTGATAAATATTTTTTTTTAAACCATATTGTGTAGCACCAGATGTCTTGCAGGGAATAAATGGCAACGTAAAAGCTTTTCCCTTAACATCAACTCACAACGTGTTTGTGATAAGAACACAAAAGAGAGGGATTCATTTTATCTTTCTGTTGAATTTCGTTTAGATTTTTGCACTAAACTTTAGTATAGTTTGGTTGTTAACTACCTTGTTTAAAGTTTTACTGAATACTGACACATACTTTTCATCGTAGAAACCGGGAAAGCTGTTCAAGAAAATCAAATACTGGGAATTTAGGTATCGATAAAAAAATACCATATAGAAAATTTTTCTCAAAAAAGACTTTAAAAACTAATTCATTTCAAATGTTTCATCAAAGTAAGTGATAACGATGAGCTTGAAAAACATTTTTCGAATTTGAAAAAGATGCTAATTGCACGTGTTAAAAGCAAAAACTTATTTTAAATAAATTAAGATATATAAACAATCGCAACAAACAAAAGATCGAGAATTATTTAATCTTCTTCTTTCAATAACTAGCTGACTTACCACTGAAAAGAAAGATTGGCAATTTATCTAATTACAAGAATAAACTCACAGACTGCCGACAAGTGGAAGAACTGGTTTCTGTATATTTTAGCCAACTTCAGATTAGCAGTCACATAGTTTTTACTAACAGCACTTACAATGTACACATTATCAGATATCTTAACCATATCAACATATGATGAGCTGTAATTCGTAGTTTTCCAGTCTTTAAATCTTTAATGTCTTGAAATTTTTAGTATTAGTAATTACTGTGACCATTTATGGCACCTGCTAGTCATCTTCCTGGTATTCTATCTTATGTATTTTCTCAAAATATCTGTAATTGTAATTTGATTTCATTTTTCTTCAATTTGTGTCCAGAGGCTCTCTTTAGTATAGCTAGCACTTTTATTCTATGGAGCTAAGATCTGGATTTTGTGTCACTGGAGATCCCCTGAAATTTCTTTCTTTTGCAAATAAGTTCGGCATTTATTGGAAGTATTTTTGACTGTTAGCACAAGATACTCTTTAAGCAACCTCTCATTGACTCTTCGGCGAACATATACACTCTGATTGGAAACAAACAGTTCAAAGTTAAACTCGTCTGTCCAGAGTACCTTGTGCTACTATTCCAAGGACCAGGATACACGTTTTTTTCTTTACAAAAACTAGTCTCTCTGTACATAAAATGACTTCCTGCTACTCTTCCCCAAAGGCAACGTTCTTGAGAATGTACCTCTTGAAAATTTATCTGTGCGTGACTTGTTAATGGTTTGCCTTGTTTTGAATTCAACGCAAAGCTACACGATGGCTATCTACATTAGCCGTCACTAATCCAGCAGTGATAGACTAGAGAGAAGGCACCTAGTCAACACAACCCACCACCAACTCTTGGGATACTCTTTTATCAACGAATAGTGGGATTGACCGTTACATTGTAACGCATTTACGGCTGAAAGGGCGAGCATGTTCGGTAAGGGTAATTCGAACCAGCGACTCTCAGATTGCGAGTTGAGTGCCTTAACCATTAGGCCATGCCAGGCCTTGATTTATCAATGTCATCAGCAAGTCTTTTTACAGTTTTAATACTGGTTTTTATGGAACTGATTTTTTAGATATCTAACATATTTTTTCGGCGAACTTTTATCCATTTCCTTCCTTCTCTGACATTATAAAACTGGGTTTCGTTGTATCTGTCCAAAGTGTACTTCAGAGTACCGAACAACCGAAATCTTTTGCAATATTTCTTAAATTCCAATCAGTAAAGATTTTACCCTGATTCTATCAAAGGGTGTTAATTTTCTATATTTTGGCAGCTGAATGGCAGCATCACACTATATTAGCCGTATCAGATAAAGATAAAAACTAATAATTTCTTATATACCTACATGTATCTGCTTAAAAAAACTTAGAATGTGAATGTCTCAAATTTTGTCAATGATGACTGGTAGAAGAACTAAAGATAATTATATGTAACAATGTTTCATCGCTTTGTGTTTATATTAGACGTTTTGAAAAATCTTTTAAAAATATACTGCACATAATCACTTGTGGTTATGTGCTGCTTTTATCATAACATTAAAAATTAATTAAATGCACATCATATTAAAATCGTGGATAAAGTAAGAAATTCAATATTTTGCCCAGTGTGATGTTTCTTCAGCATTTAAATACCACCTGTATCTACAAATTGGCTAAGCTCTTGTTGGTCAGAAAAAATGACCCATTGTGGAAATAGTTTTTTTTTCAGTTTCCCTTTTTGAACAATACCAATGGCCAAAAAAGACAACGATTTAGCCTATTTTTAGTTTCAATAGACCCCTGGCTGCTCCAAATCGATGGATCGAAATTGCTGACTTCTTCAACGGCTGTCGAAAAAAATTATTATTCTAGTTCAAAATGGAACATTTACCTAGTGGAAGTAAAAGTTTTATCAATTTCTCATAAATTGAGTAGTTTTTTGTTTGTAATTAAGCACAAAGCTACACAATGGGCTATTTGTGCTCTGCCCACCACGGGTATCGAAACCCGGATTTTAGAGTGGTAAGTCTGCAGACAAACCGCTGTGCCACTAGGGGCTAACTTGAGTAGGAATCATGTGAAAACAGCCAGAAAATGTATTGACAAGTACTAATAAAACAACAAACGGTAGACGAAAATGACCACGGCCAAATTACAATGAGAATATTGTAAATATCAATAATGAAATTGTACATGATGAAAATGACGATATTATTTTATTGATAATATACATTTTGGCCTAAATTGAAGATTATTGAGGTGATGATGGAAGTGGTGAATATTATGAAATAATGGAAAAAAATATAAAATATATCACAGATGTTTTCGAAATAGATGCTACTTTGGCGAAAAATTTAGCAAGTTGAAAATCATGTAAAAAATAGTCCTTTAATTTTATTGATAAAATAATCATGCAATTGCTTTCATAATTTCAGTACTAATGAAAATATGCTCTATTATATTACCCAATGATGTAGACTAATTACTGCTTAATATAGGAAAACAACTTGTAAAAGATAGCAGAGAAAGTTAAAGAAAAATATAATTGAAATATAATCAAATCATTGTTTCCAATGAAGGTTGTTATTGACTCCATTATGTGCTTTATTACAAAATGACGAAGTTTTCTGATTGTGTAAAATCGATTTAAAAACCCAATAGAACACCTGATATTTTAGCTTGATACAATATCTTATAAACGCATTCCGAAAGAAGCCGTGTAGAAGTTTAGTGCTAGTTATCTAACATTCGCCTCCCCCCAGTGGCACAGCGGTATGTCTGCGGACTTACAACGCTAGAATCCAGGTTTCGATACCCGTGATGGGCAGAGCAAAGATAGCCCATAGTGTTGCTTTGTGCCTAATTACAAACAATATCTAACACTCCAAATACATAATAAATATTCATTGATATATCGATCTTCATGCAGCCATATTTTCATCTATGCTTAATATTTTGCTTTACAAAAGCTGTGAAATCCTTATTATTAAAGCTTTCTTTTAGTATCATTTCCGTAATCGAATTCTAAGATCGATTTCTGGTGACCCCACCTCTAGTTCAATATGTTATCCAATTTGTTCGTACGACAAATATTAAACTACAATTGTTTTCTTGCATTGCCAAAAAACCCCTAAAACTATAGGAGCAATGGGGTGTTATAATAAATTTTCGTATTACTACACATATATATTACTTATACAGTAAAGAAAGTTACGAAAGAAGAAAATGAGGATTAAACTCGGAATGTAAAAAAAAAAAAGAGAAAGAAACAAATGAAGCATAAAAGTAAAGATCTAACGATAAAGAGAAGAAAGGGAATATTTTAGGATAAATAAAACATGTTAATAACGAGAAAGGTATTGAAACACCCACAGAAAAAGGCAGAAAGACTAATGCTCAATGAATGAAACATATAAGAGACATAGAATACAAATTCGATAAAAAATGAGACTACATAATTAATCCCCTAAAGAAACAAATATGTATAACAACAACACAATAAAATGAGATGAACAGGCCGAAACGTAGAGACAACTCAATAGGAAAAGGCAAGTAGAAAATAAGGCTCTTGAAGAATAGATTATTAAACAAATCCACCTCTTCAGCACTCACCGCCAGGGCACCATACACAGGAAAAACACGTTTTCTTTTTAGACACTCATGGCAAAGCTGAAGAGTTCAGTTTACTGAGAAGCAAAACGCGTTCGATCTCACCTAACGCTTAACGCTCTACGGACTATATTTTCGATTCTTATACAAGTCTATAGGTTAGTTGTAATCAGACGTGTTTTCTGTGTATGGTTAATGCTGCATTAATGTGCTAAAGCTGAACACATGACTAACTGTTCGACAACGGGCGAAGAAATTAATTAAATATACACGAGTTCAACTCAGATTTTATTTTAATCTACGAAGCTGGATGTGTTACTCTTGGAGTCGCCACACTTCAGCTGATTAAAGGAGTAGTCTAGAAGAGAAAGGATGTTTTCCAGTCTGTAAGTTTATTCTACTGTGTATGTGAATCGCCTTTATTACATGGATTTATCATGCTAGTTTTATATGCTCTTTGTTTTTATTTAAGAAGAAATTAATAACATTTTGTTTCTTAAAAAAAGAAACTAATTAAAGGAAATAATTTCCATTCCAGGAAGCATATTAAAGAAAGTTGAAAAACGTTTCGTATTTTGGAAATTTTGGATTTGAATTTTTCACATTAAATTAAAAATGAAAAAAAGAGAGCGAAGAAAAAGGCAACTATTAAAACTAGAATTTAATACCAAATTTTGGAGAAAAATTTATATTAATGAATAAAATAGCAAAATCAGGTAGTGGTTTAATTACAAGAGCATTATGCAGATAATTAACGGAAGTGAATAAATAAAATATGTATACAAACAAAATATTACAGAACAACGAGAGTATACGCAGATAGAAATACATTACTCTTCAGAGATGACTGATTGCAGGACAAACGAATTTATAATGTCAAGATATAACAGGAATACATATCATTAGAAACACATTACTTGTAACAGAAGATCAATAGTAGGAAACCGTATTCGCAATGTTGAGGGATAACAGATATTCGTACTTGTAGAAATAATTACTTGTAATTGAAACCAGGAGTGAGTTTGTTTGTTTGTCTGTAATTAAGCACAAAGCTATACAATGGGCTATCTGTGCTGTGCCCACCACGAGTATTGTAAGTCCGCAGACATACCGCTGTGCCACTGTGGGGCCCAGGAGTAGGAAAATATATTCGTATTATCGAGGGATAACAGAAATATATACCTCTAGAAGCACGTTACTTTTAACAACAGACGAGCAACAGAAAAATATATTCGTAATGTGAAAATATAACAAAATTACATACCACTAAAAATTGTTAGATATACCAGACTGTTTAATGCGAATGTTAAACTTAGTTATTTTTAGAAGCGATAGTTTATCGCAAGTTTGTTTACGTAACTGTTTACGAATGACATGTTGTGTAGTTCTCTAGTTATGAACATTTGTATACGCGTTTGACTTATTTTAGAATATTGTTTTAAAACACGTGTACTGTTTGCTGTTTGTTTATTGTTGAAATATATCGCCAACAAGTTACAGACACTTATTGTAAAGAATCTGACCCATACATAAAAACCTGACAGTGACAAGCCAGTCAGGATCTACAGTGGTAAACGGTGGTAAAAGAAAATACAGCGGTAAATAGGCCTATATACACACAGCTGTAGTAGTGGAAAAAAATATTGTAGAGGTCACAACCACACTATATAACCATGTCAATGATGGTGATCTATGAGTGTTTGATAAGCAATAACAATGAGAGAAGAGCATCAACAGAGAAGAGAGAAAGAATAAGAAAACAAATTGAGATTGCCAAGCTCACCAAACAGAAAGATGGAGGACCCAAGAATGATGTTGGAGTCAGGGTCAACTGATCCAAGCTGCCCAAATTTGCTGAACAGAAATACGACATAGATGTTATCCTGGAGAGGTATGAAAGATTCACCCCAATTCAGAACTAGGACAAAGACAACTGGACAGTCTGTCTCAGACGCCTTCTCACAGGAAAAGGCCTACAATATATGCTGGCATAACTTTAGAAGATGCTGTGGACTATAAAACGTTAAAAGTGGCCTTGCTGAAACGCTATGAACTTACCAAGGAAGGTTTTTGCCAGAAGTTCAGAAAAGCCAAACCTGACATTGGAGAAATTGTATTTCAGTTTGTGGCACGTCTACAGTGATACTTTACAAAGTGGATTAATACGGCCAAGTATAAAGGTAGTTTTGAAGGAGTGGCAGATCTACTAATACAATAACAGTTTATGAACACTGTTCCACTGACATGTCACTGTTCCAAAAAGAGAGAACACCGAAAGACGTGGAGGAGATGATCAAGATGGCAGAAAAGTATATGGAAGCCCATGGAGGGAGTATAACTGGCAAGTCTAAGAATAACCAGTCAAAATCGAAACCAAGGGTGGCTGACAAAAAGTAGAATGCCACCAAGGGTGACAAAAAATCAACAGACAAATGGGAGAAGAAATATATGCTTATTATCAAATGGGGCACATTGCGTGTGGGTGCAAGTCTGTCATTAACAAGCAACAGCTGAAATCTTAACATAAATCAGCTGGAGCTATCTACAAAGATGGTGCTGGCAAAAACCTAGAAAAGAGTGACTGTCACCATGGATGTTGCTGCCAGATGAAACAGAATGAAGACAACTCATTAGATTTACAATGATTAAACCCGTGCATGATCGATGGTCAGATCAAGCTAGTAAATGGGTCAACAGTGCCAGTGGTGATTGGACCATGTGACAAACACCAAGAGGTGTCAACAAACCAAAACATGCCCGTAGGTAAAGGCAATGTCTTGGGCAGTAAAGTGAAAGTCCCATGAGATCCTGGGTGCAGCAATGCAACATTTGGAGCCAGTCTAGTATCTGATGACAAGATGATGGACAAGGTGTGTGCTGGTTGCTGGGACAGTGAGAAAGTTTCCCATAGCAATAATAAAGGTGGACACTCCATACTGTATGGGAGACCTTGAGGCCATGTGCGTGCGTGAAAGCACCCATCTATGAGTTGATGATTGGCAATATACCAGGCAGTAGAAGTTTGGAGGAACCAGACAGAAAGGAGACTGATGAGGCATCTTCAGTCAGTACAAGAGCTCAAGAAAAGAAAATCAAGCAGGACATTAAACCCCAGCAATTCTCAAAAGGTGATAGCGAGAGGTAGGTTTAAAGGAACTGAAGGAAGCACAGAAGAAAGACACTTCACTGCAAAAACTTTGGGACAGTGCCCAGGAGAACGTCAAGCACAAGACAAAGGGCAAAGGGAGTTACAGAATAGAGGACCAGAAGGGAGCGCTGTACCAGATCTGTTAAAGCAGTTCTACTGGGGAAGTTAAACAAATCATAGTACCAACAGAATACCAAACTCAAGTGATGAAGTTGGCTCACGAGTCAACTGTGGGAGGACACCTAGGAGTGACAAAGATGGCACACAGAATCACCAGAAACTTCCATTGGTTGTGGTTCATTTGAGATGTGATGAGATTCTGCAAATCACGTGACATCTACCAAAGGATTATACCTAGAAAGAATGTAGCCAAGGTACCACTTGGTGACATGCCTCTCATAGAAGAGACATTCAGCAGAGTAGCTGTGAATTGATCAGACCACTAGCACCTGTATTCAACTAGCACAACAGGTACATGCTGACAGTAGTTGCCTATACAACACATCATCTAGAAGCCATAGTTATGCTGAAGCAAGAAATGGAGATAGCAGCAGAAGCTCTCCTGGAATTGTTCTGTAGAGTAGACTTTCCAAAAGAGGTATTGACTGACAGAGGGACGCAGTTTACCTCAGAACTGATGCAAGATGTGTGCAGACTCATCAGCACTAGGCAGCTCTTTACCACCCTATACAACCCCATTAGGACTTTGTGAGAGAGTTAATGGAGTCTTTAATAGCTTGCTAAAGAAAATGTGCCAAGAGAGACTACGTGACTGGGACAGGTACATGCAGGCAGTATTATTTGCTTACCGAGAAGTCCCACAAGCGAGTACAGGATTTTCACTCTTTGAGCTACTGCATGGAAGAACAATATATTGTTCAAACTGTTAACAAGAGAAAGAGTCAGAAGTGAGGAACACATTTCAGCACGTGTTTGACCTCATAGATCGACCGAATGAGACCTGTCAACTCACTAAAGAAAATTTATATGCAGCTCAAGGCAGTCAGAAGCACTTCTATGACAAGAAGGATTGACGTTTGAAGGTCGGACAACAGGTCATGTTTCTGCTACCCACAGACAACAACAAACTCACGCTGCAGTGGAAAGGGGTCAACAGAATGGACTATAAGGTGAAAGTGGATGAGAAGACCAAGGTCTACCATGACAACTAGTTGAAGAGGTACTTTGAGAGGGAAGAAGACCTAATGGGTGAAGCTATTGAAGCACAGATGGACATTGTAGATGTGGCTGTCATAGATGTAGAACCAGAAGATGGTGACTGTGTTAAAAAAGATGAAGAGCTACTAGACATAAGACTGCTGCTGGATGGAAATGAAACATACGAAGATGTCAACATCAGTGAAGAACTGACTGGCAAGCAGAAGAAAGAACTACAAGATCTATTGTGCTACTATGCAGACGTCCTCACAGAAGATCAAGAAAACAGACAGTGTGTGACACAAGATAGAGACCACGATTAGGGATTCAGTCATGGTGAAGCCCTACCACACACTCTTTGTGATGAGAGACTTGATCAAGCAAGAAGTCGAGGTAATGTTAAAAGCCAGAATCATTGAGCCTTCGAATTCAGCCTACTGTTCACCAGTGGTAATTGTAAAGAAAAGGGATGACTCAAACCACTGGCTCTGCATACATTTCTGGAAGCTGAACCTAGTTACAAAGTTCGACTCCAAACCTGTGGGTAACCCAGAAGCCACCAAAGGGACTGCAGATGTTAGTGCAGACTGTATGAGTTGACTTTGTGCATGAACTGAAATCAGTCTTTTAATATAGTATAAAAATATTATAAATATTTTTCTTGAAGAGAGGCTTATTGTTAGATATACACGACTGTTTCAGTTTAAGTGTAATGTGAATGTTAAATGTAATTATTTTTAGGAGCAATAGTTTAATGCAAGTTTGTTTACGTAACTGTTTACGAATCATACATTATGTAGTTCACTAGTTAAGAATTGGTGATTGTTATATCATTGCATCATGCTACTAGAACCTTCTGAGTTTTACTCGTTGTTTTAATTAAGTATTATTGCATCATGATATCTAGTAGTGTGGAACATTCTAGACCTCTATCGGGGTATAAATATGCGTCGAAAATCTAGTTCAATAGATAGATCTAGACTGCATGATTGTGGGTTTGGCCATAATGAGCATATTGTGGCGATTTTTAAAGAAAGTATCACAGATTGTATTGTAATAACAGAGTAGAGAAGAATAATTTGTCTTGTCATTTGTGTTCTAAAGTGATTGAACCAACCTGTATAGACTTTAACGAATAAGAGACAATTATTTCAAGCTCTGGATACAACTGTGGTTATTAACTGTGTAACAAACATTTGTATATACGTTTGATTTGTTTTGGATATATTATTTTAAAACAAGTGGACTGTGTGCTGTTTGTTTGTTGTTCAAAATGTATCGCCAACAAGTCACAGACACCTACTTTAAAGAATCCGTCCCCTTCATAAAAACCTTACAAACGCCTTGCTTCTAACAGTAGACCAGCAGAGTGAAAAACATAATGTCAATACATACCACTAGAAACACGTTAATTGCAACCGTACACCAGCAGTGGAAGAAACGTATTCATGATATCAACAGATATGAACGATAGATACCATTAGAAATACGTTACATGTAACAGTACACCAGAATGAGAAGAAACGTATTGTAATGTCCACGGATAACAAAATACGTACCACTAGAAACGTGTTGCTTGTAACAGTAGACAAAGAGTAGGAATGTGTTCGAAATCTGAAGGAACAACAAAAATATTTGCATGGTGATTTGAATTGTTTTTTTAAACACCGCAGAGAAATTATATATATATATATATATGATTTGAAGAATATGAAGCATTGATATTATTAATTTATTTTTCTGGATCATTCAGCAGGTACATTGAGTTTTACCAGATTCGGGGAATTCCACTCCTCATCAGTAACCATGGACAAGGGCAAATCGAAGGAACAAGACAAGGCTTAATATAGTGGTGGAGTAAATATATATGTATATGTTACTGATGAGGTGTGAAATTCCCCGAAACAGGTAAATCGAATAACAGATTGGGATTCATATCTATTTTTTGAAAAATTCATAAAAACTTATTGCTTATAACAGTAGATCAGCAATTTAAAAAACGTGTTCATAATCTCCAGCATTAGCCAGATTTCACACCACTGGAAATAAATTAATTTTAACGTTAGATTACAAGTAAGAACCCAAGAAATGTCATACTTCTACTGACAACCAGGCTTTAAAATAATGTGTGTATTGGTAGGACATTGTTCAACCAGCGCTCTAATTTGTCTTACCTGGTCACCTTAGTTAGTCCCACGACTGAAAATCCATTATTTTGAATCTTGGTAACAAATAATATAAAAAATTTGTATTACTTGCAACAGTCTAGGTTGGCACTTGATAGAAACCGAAAAAGGTCACAATGTCAAAAGGCAAAATGAAGTATATTACTTATAGCAATAATTGCCAACTGAATGGGCATGTAAAGTCATAACAATTTGTCTCGACAAGTCTTCGTTAATCATATCTTAAGTCTGTACTCTTGCCTCTTACGTAAGGTTAAACTGAATACTTAATTTTCTTTTTTATATAAATTTTTAAACAATGTAATAAGAATTTTTATATATTTAGGTAGTGAAGAGTTAAGATTTGTTGTGTATTGCTGTAATAATTTTGGTTACGATGTGTAACATGTCGATCAAACGTTTTTCTGGTTTGAAACATTGTTTATGTCAAGATATCATTACTTCTTCCATTATCTATATCATTGTGATTGAAAGACAAGCTTCTTTGAATACATGGCTTGAGCTAAAAACCTTTTGTAGTTGTCACAGTAAGGGTTTCTTATCAATCACTAAATGCAAATAATATCCAAAAGAAGTAGGGATTGTTGGTTTAGTTACTTATTGTTTACACAAACCTATCTATATAAGCGTTTAAAGTATGTATCCAGAACTTTATGGTTTAATCCAAAACTTGTAAGAGCATTATAAAAGAGGATAATAAATAAAAAAAAAACAAACTTCACAAGTAACCGTCGCAGGTATACATATGTTATTTTTTGTTTTGTTTTTTAGCGTAAACCTAGGCAATGGAATGGTTACGCTTTGTCTACTTCGGGGAATCAAAACGTTGATTTTAGCGCTTTAAGTCCGCAAAGTTATCATATATCCACCGGGGAACAGGTACAGTACATTGTTGCTTTGATTTGGTTTTAATTCATTGAGGTTTGCTGTTGCTATGTAAAGTCAAGCATGAGAAATGTATTCGATAATAAGACGTTTTATATAATTTGTTTATGTTTTTTGATCATTTGTTAGACCTCACATGTAATGAAACACTTTTCAAACTTTGTAGTCGATATAATAAATGTGCTTGCCCCAAGATTCCAGCTATAAGTTTTAAGTTAGAATATCTTATTTGCTTTCCGAAACAATCATTTTGGGTTTTTTAAATGTTCAGGCTAGTTCTTGTTCTATTGCACCAGATTCCATATCGTTGAGGAAGTCTCGAAGACACTAGCAAGCTATATAGTTTTACATGAGCTGTACTAGATATTCATATCAGCCATAAGTTATATGTTTTACATTTATATCTCTAAAGGAATAATGATAATATAAAAATTTTACAAGGTGATTTACAATTACTTTGGGTATTCTCTTACGTCTGGGGTAAATACATGACGGTAGGACTCACCCTCTATAACCAGGAAAGTTTGAAATCCAGTGGATAAGATTGTGTGTAAGAATATGTTTTGTTAGTTTGAAGTGTAATCTGTTATGTTATTAATATTGTTAAATTATGAGAAGATGGTACCATACTCTAAATTTTTTTATGAGTGATTTTATTACTACAGAGGATTTTCTAAGTTTGTTTTTTGTTTTTTTAGCTCAAAGCCAAACAATGGGCTATCTGTAATCTGTCCATCAAGAGGAATCGAAACCCAGATTTTATCGTGGTGAGTCCGCAAACTTACTGATGACCCACTGGTGGACATTACGTTTGCATGTTTTTAAATTAAATTGGGATGTTATTATTATTATTATTATCATTTTACTCAAGTAAAAGAAGAAACATTTGTTATTGGTTACTATGACAACTCGTAAGACTTGAAATCTTAACTTACAAGACTAATCAGCTTGCGTTTCTTCTACAATGACTTATTTTGAAACATTTGAGCCAATACATAAACTCAGAAAACCATTTGCTGGTGTAATATTTGAGAGTAATTTTTAAGTAAAACAATTTTTGAGGGCTTTCCTTAGCCCACCTGTGGCTAAGCAGTGAGTATGAGGGCTTATCACGCTAAAAATCGGGTTTTGATACCCGCAAGATGCACAACACAGACAGCCTGTTGTGTAGTTTTTGCTAATCGATAAATAAACAAATAGAGGCTTCACCTAAAAACAAAAACAAATTAGTTTGATATCGGTAAGGGCTCGTACTAGTTTTTTGCGTTAATGTTGATTTAAAGAGCATCTGTTGTGGGATCATTTGTATGATTACAACTCTCTCTAGTCAATTCCAAAAAGGCCCCAAAGCCTTTACTGCCATTCAATCAGTTAAAGAAATTGTTTCAATTTTCCTGTCCTAAACAATGAACTTAGTTTCTGATGGCTAGAACTTAAGCAGTTTAAATATATGATGTCTTAATCTTTGGTGTTCATGCACAGCATCTTACACTTTCTATATTTATATTATTAGCGTGTGTGTGTAGAGGCGAGTATGAAATTTTGATAAATGACTCAATTTAAGAAGCATTGCTTTGCGCGACGTCATTGCATAATAATAACTGTTTAAAATCTTTAGCACTTAATTTTTAAAAGTTACAGCTAATCCACACAACTTCCTTAGACTAATATCTTAATAGCTTTCATTTTATTCATTAAATAATTTCATGTAAGTAAATGATTGAAATAATTAAATATTGAAGTATATTATACTAAGAGGCGGGTTGGTCCTGTGGTGGAGCTCTGGATTTCAGAGCTACGGAGCTGAGTTCGAATTTGTGTGATATCACAAAATATTCTTAGCAATTAGAGCTGTGGGTCCGTTATAAGAGTAACAGTAAATTCCTTAGCATGTTTGTGTACTACCGATTGATCAATGGTTTAGAAACTAGAGACGGCGGCAAGTGGAATTGTCATAAATGTACAAATGCTAAAATACACATTAAACCAAAATATAATTATTTTGTCTGTTATACATCTCGTATATCCAGGCGTATTCTTGTATAATGGGGCATCATCATTACTGTAAACAAAAAGCAAAACAAAAACAGCCTTTAAATTTAACCCGATGGAAATTGCATTTCTACATCTGAAAATATGTATACTAACTGTTTAAGTTTGATGACGAGGAACCCACTTTGAGAGTACCAAATTTTAAAGACGGTTTTGTCACCATCAGGTACATTTGTTATTGTGTTAAACTTGTGATAAAGATTTCTTAGTTACCCGTTTAAACCTTCTCTAAACTTAACTGTTAAAGTGTCTTGTACATTATTCTAGTAATAAAGAATATATAATGGATAATTAATTACAATCAGTGTTCTTCCCATGATAGCTAACATTACCATAAAATGATTTTTAATGTATATCTATACTATTGGCTGTTTTCCAGTGTACTTATCGATTTATTGTGATTCATATTGTAAGAAACAACCAATATTTAGAACAGCTTGTTTATTAATATTTTCATTATAATCTTGTAGGCTATATATTAAATTTGACGTCTGTATCATTCTTTATCTAAAGGGGTTTTTAACATCCCGTGACAAACGCATAACTGAATCACTAGAAATTTCTTGAAAGTTTAGAAGACGATTTAGGCGAAAGAAAATGTCAGTTAGACTAACATACAAGTATCGAGTATTTAACGGTGATGTAGTGATTATTGAGTTGGTTAGTTAGTCAGTTAGTTACTTCAGTTTTGTAAATTTTGAGTTTGTGTTTCAACGAAATACCAGAGATACGAGAAGTACGTTAAGTACGACAAAGTTAGCAAGTTAGTCAGAAGCGGATTGGAAATTAAAATGTCTAGGAATAATTATTCTTATAACAGCCTTCCAATGAAATATGGAGAAAATGATTCTTGAAAAAACTGAGCGGGATATTGTGCTTATGCTACATAGCCTGTAATGTGTAGTAGTATTAATACTATTCCTACAGTTTACAAATTAAACAAAAATACATTGTACAATTTTTTTTCCCTTTAGAAACTAACGTTTATTATATTTATTAAGTATGACCAAAGAAGTACATGAATTGAAATTAATTCACACAAAAATAATCTTAAAAGAAAAATTTACATTAGAACTTTCATGAAGACGGCAACACATTAGCTGATGAAACATAAGATAGAAACTAATTACTAATGAGTATGTAGTTATAAAATAAATAGTTAATATTTATAGATATGTCATCCTTATTATGAAAAAAAGTTAAGAATTAGTTACTAATTAATTATTAGACTTAGGTTAATAACGTTTGATATCTGATCACCACAATCTTACCGCAAGTACTAATTGCTATGTAGAGACACATATTGTATGAATTTTTTGTTAATATTTTTCAAATTACAAGAATGCAGGTCTCGTCTATTTTATTTTGCAGGCGGCTTAATATTAATTGTTGTGGGAAAATAAGAAGACTTCTGTCGTGAAAGAGGTGAGAATGTCTGAGCTGGTCAGAAGAGCAGAAGCTTTGCAAGGTTCTTTGGAAATTAGAGCATTTTTGTAAAAACGTAAAACATATAGTGTTTCAGAGGACTAAAGCTCAAGCATCCCGCTAAAGTTGTTTCTGAAAAGTCTTGTAAAAATGAAAAATTTCACTGTTTCGGCACAACTGACTTTGTCGTCATGGTGATGTCCGTGAATAAACTTACAGGAACAGAGCAAGATTACGAGCATGTGATAGACCAGCTGCCGTTGTCTGGCAGTGAGATAAATCGAGACGATTGAACGACAAATAAAAAGATTAATTTATTGTTGGCCTAGTTATAATTTCTATATCTGTGCCTTAGTTCTGCTGTGATTCCGCAAAACATTAAACAACGCCTTGAAAACTAAAACAAAATAGTTATTAAAATCGACATGTCTGGTTTTATAAATGAAACATTATTGATTTGCTCGTTTCATGTTTAACTTGTAGGAGGCAGTCAAACAATCGAGTATGATACTCAAAATCTGTACTAAACGTTTAAATATTAATCTACGAAACTTCACAAAATCAACGAAAAATAAAACATTAACTTTTAGAATGAATACGAAAACTGTTAATCAGTATCTTTGTGCAAGAGGAAAATTATGTAAAAGCGTAGAGCTAATAGAGTGATGAGATAACCAGTAAAGTAGACAAGAAAGGAGTACATTGATAGCAGTTAGATCCAAAAACGAACAGTAGCTTGGACGCTCGCTTATGATACACCAAACGTACAAAAAACATGATGTTTGAAGAAGAGAAAATTAACACAAAGTCTAAACTTCCTGCCTTGAAAGTCATGGCGAAGCCGCTCCCACCCCCTGTTGTTGTAATAACTAGTGAAGCAGATGTTAAAAGTGAAAATAATCTTGATGAAACTGCATGTCACGAATCAACAGCTTTGGATATTCTGGCTAATGGTATTCGCCAAACAGGAAGTTTTAATCCTTTATCAATGGCGTCGCTACGAACGCATGCGCAAGATAGTTTGACTGTCATTCCAACTGACGGAAATGAAGAGAATGATCTGGATCAGAATCAAGGTAGGATTTATTTTGTTAATTTAATTATACCTTTTCATATATATGTATGCATCAAACAATGTTTCAAGCTACTTGTTGCTTTTCTTCGAGTACGCTAGTATTCCATTAACCTAAGTCAATTTGTATAGTTTAAGTTACTCAAAACAAAGTTTTATTTAAACAGGCTAAATAATCATATTATTTTGTAATTATGTTATTTAAATTATTTCTGTAATGTAATGTTAGTTTGGTGAAGAATTTATTTAAATCAGTTGTATATAGTCATATTACTTTGTTAGACAGACGACGTATTGAAATTAGCTGTCATATTAATTTGGTAAACAATGTTTTTTTCAAATCAGCCATTAGCACAGTCACTAGTTTGGTAGACAATTAATGTATTTAAACAAGCTGTATACAGTTATTTTGATTTCATTTTTTTTAATCAGCTGTACACAAGTTATGTTATTTCGGTAGACAATGAATATATTTAAATGAGCTGAATACAGTCATGTTGATTTGGTAGACAATCAGTCAGTCGTAGCGTCCTCTTTAGTTCTGAGGGTCGACGACTTGTTCTCTTTTTCTCGTTGCTGTCACCAACTCTCCTAATTCGAGATTCTCATCTCTGTTCCATTTTCTCAAGTTATCGAGTCTCAGGTCTGTCTGTCGCTTTCCCCTCCTTCAATTTTACACACGAAAATATCTGTCAACCTTCCTTCAGATCTAATTATATGCCCAAAATAGCACATCTTCTGCCTCTTACGTATAGATATTTCCTTTGTCTCTGCACGTCCCAGTACTTCCTCCTCAGTTTTCTATCTATGTGGCCAATAAATCTATTTAGATCAGCTGTACACGGTCATCTTAGTTTATACAACTGATCTAAATAAATTCCTTGGCTACCAAAGTAAGACTGATTAAATTCATTGGCTACAAAACTAAGATGACTGTGATAGGTTTTCGTTCGAGTTTATATTTCACTATTATTCATGATTGTGATTTTTTAATACTTACATACTGTTGATATATTTTTAGTTCCGCATCGTTTGGACACGTTTTAATACTGTGAAATTAAAACATAAAAATTGTCTTTATATCAACATCACAGTTGTGATATATGTTTAGAAGAGCACATTTCTAGTATTGCAACAACATTCACCAAGATTGCCCGAAATTTAGAAAGGTCTGAGCTCTTCTTGTACAAATAGTTTAACCTTTTCCAAGTTGTCTCAAAGACGAAAGAAGCGTATCGTTTTATTTGGTTGTTTTTAAATTTCATGGACACTAAAGGTAAGCCAAATAATTGAGTTAAACCGTTTCCAAGTTAGCTCAAAAAAGAAATAAACTTACCGTTTTATTTGGTTGTTTTTAAATTTCATGGACACTAAAGGTAAGCCAAATAATTGAGTTAAACCTTTTCCAAGTTGGCTCAAAAAAGAAATAAACGTACCATTTTATTTGGTTGTTTTTAAATTTCATGGACACTAAAGGTAAGCCAAATAATTGAGTTAAACCTTTTTCAAGTTGGCTCAAAAAAGAAATAAACGTACCGTTTTATTTGGTTGTTTTTAAATTTCATGGACACTAAAGGTAAGCCAAATAATTGAGTTAAACCTTTTTCAAGTTGGCTCAAAAAAGAAATAAACGTACCGTTTTATTTGGTTGTTTTTAAATTTCATGGACACTAAAGGTAAGCCAAATAATTGAGTTAAACCGTTTCCAAGTTGGCTCAAAAAAGAAATAAACGTACCGTTTTATTTGGTTATTTAGAAATTTCATGGACACTAAAGGTAAGCCAAGTTATTTAGTTTTTTTTTACTTTTTACCTTACAATCGTAACTAAATAAACATTGAACAATAAAACACATTAACACAAAGGAAAAGTAGGATGCTGTTAACCCTCATGACCCTGTGATAATGTGACTAATGTCCCGTCTTTTCTTGATGTATAGGTGCATACTCTTGTTTGAATTGAAATACCTGGTGATCGCGTGATAACCTGCATGGCTTGCCTCTTCTTTAATAGTGTACTTAGTTATGAGATCTACACAGCCTCAAATGTCACATGTTAAAGTCTATGTCGCGTTATTTCTTAATGAGAGAGCGAATTTACTTGGGAGATCTGAAATATTTCATGATCACGTGCTAATCTGCATGACACGTCTTTCTTTGATAAAATGTAGCCAGATGACTCAAGTTTGTGGTCGTTTGAACCTTTCTTCGCAATAGAAAATAATAAGTAGCTCTGCTGGTCGACAACGAACTTTTCTGTCAGTAACAAGAGTGACTGGCTGAATACACGCTGATGTGTTACGAGTAAACACATTTAAAACTCTTGTTATAAGGATTCTCTGTAGGAAATGCAGTACATGCAGCTTTTACATCTACACGCAAGTTCAATTATTATTGACAAGCGTACACGTTAGTTTTACTTATCGTCGTACACTGATATGAGACTGTTAAACCTCGGAAGGTAATTTTTTGTTAAAACGTAAAACCACCATATAGTTTATTATCAAATTGTACGATCGTTCTTACCTTTCTTATTCACGAGCAACTATAATGTCCGACATAATTTCTAGGGTCTCACATGACACACTTTTAATATATAAAAATATACCAAAATATCTGACTTACGTAAAATATGAACTTATGGTGGGTGATTGATGTTATTTCAAAAGAGATGTTGTTATAGCTAAACTATAATATGAAGTCTGATTACCCTTTACTTGTTTTGTACAACGTTCCATAACGTAAAAACTAACTTAGTATTACACTTAGTAGTATTTCATTCATCTTCACAAAATAAACAAACTGTATATTAGGTCGTCCAGAAATTAATGTCGCTTCTTTTAGATAAAAAAAAAACCCGAACAACTTATAAATCAAAACAAAACATTTATTAAATGAAATAGTCTCTATTCTTATCGATGAT